AGGGTCTGTTTCTCCACCCGCCTCATTAACCCTGGGTATTCTCCAACTTTTCTGTCTTTGTCTATATCAATGCTGATAGGTCTTTCTGTGATGATGGAAATGTTCTTTTTCTGTACTGTACAATATAGCAGCCACCAGCCACATGTGGTGATTTTGTACTTTAATATTGCTAGTGTGACCGAGGAACTGAATTTTTAATTTATTTTTTAACTGATTAAAATTAAAATTGTAATAGTCGCATATAGCTAGTGGCTACTGTTTTGGTCAGGGCAGGTCTATGTGACTGTGAAAAATGAAAAAAAGCATCTCATTTAAAATAATGTTGATTTAGTCATCTTGTCACTTTGTCCCTTTGATTTTATCCCAAAACTGAAAGGAAAGATATCCTGTAGGGCACCATCCTTGGCAAATTTTATTAATGTAGGAAATGCTTACATACAGTGATTAAATAATAATGGGGTACTGAGGTTTACACCGCGCTCAAGGTGAAAGATAATGAAAATCTCTGGCTTCCACACTGAGATAATTGTTTCTGGCCACTCAAGAAATTTGCCCTGGTATGGGTGAAGATATATGGTGCTAGTTCGGGGCAAAAGTAGGAAAGAGACTTTTGTTTCTGGAGCAAAAGTTCGTTTCTGGCTTGTTTGTGTCCCTCCTTTCTCCTCTGTGGCACTCCCCCTCCTCGTCCTAGGTACTTGATGCCTTTTTGCTTTCTAAAGCCCTCCTGCCACTAAAGTAGAAAAGATTTAACTTGGTAACTCACTTTGAATGAAGTTTATTTATACCAGTGGGTCAGCTGCATTTTAAGATTTTATCCCTTGGTTATAGTATGAAAGAGACTAGCAACTGATGAAGTAATTTCAAGCAATAAGTAATAGGTGTGGCGGTTAGAATTCAGAGTGGGAGGTAGCTGTTCTCTCTAACCTGAAAACTCGCAATGCCTAAGGCTGACTCTGAAGGTAAATATAGTTTTGGCCCTTGTGATGCTCGGAGGCCTGGAGTGTGACAGCAGCTCTGTGGCCCTAACTAGTTCCCCGTGCACCCACTCTTGGGTTCCACTGTCTGGAGTTACTGCTGTACTCCAGGATTAGGTCATTCAGGGAAAGGATCCAAAGGGAGAACGGAAATGCCCCTGGATCAGGGTTAGAGGAGAAGCATCAGAGAGGGTGAGTGAGCAGGTGGGGCAGAAAAAGGATGAGATAGCAGCTCTGTATCGTGAGAGAGGAACAGAGGCAAAGGGCACTCTGCCCTGGGGAGGAAGACCTGAGACTTGTCTGAGTGTGTGGACATGTGGTGTGTGACTGTGTGTGTGTACACGTGTCTGTGTGTACGTGTGCATGTGCGTGTGTGCATGTGTGCACAAGAGTACGTGTGCTTATGTGTGCCCCAGCTTTGGGATGATTAAGATTATTAAAAGATACTCAGGATCTAAAAACACTGTCAAAAGTGAGATTGTGGATATTGAAGAATTAATAAAAAGAGACGAAGAATACTAACATTTTTGATCGGCATATTAAAAGTAATACTGCTGGGCCGGCCCTGTGGCTTAGCGGTTAAGTGCGCGTGCTCCACTACTGGCGGCCCAGGTTCGGATCCTGGGCGCGCACTGATGCACAGCTTCTCCTGCCATGCTGAGGCCGCGTCCCACATACAGCAACTAGAAGGATGTGCAGCTATGACATACAACTATCTACTGGGGCTTTGGGGGAAAAAATAAATAAATAAAAATCTTTGAAAGTAATACTGCTGACTAGTTACCATTTCTATCTAATTATCCTGCAGAAAACAAGTCTGCGTATGTTGTCCTGCATATGCATATGTTGTCATTAAACATATGGCAAATTAAATCTGTATAATTTGTTCATGAAAGTAAACTGTGCAACTATATGTGCCATCTCCAAAGTTTGTTGCTTAGGTAGCATCATTATTTGCTTATTCATTCTGCTTTTTATCTTATACATGTTATATCTGCTTATAACATTAAAAACTCAGAGGAATATTGCCCCAGTGTGTGTGTGTGTGTGTGTGTGTGTGTTACAAAATTTTCAATGTTGAGAGTAAAGGGCTGCTTTGCGTGGGCCTGATTCTGCACCTTGGATGAAAAGACGGAAGAGCAGGCGATTTGCAAATGACTGAAAAAGACCACTGACATAGAGATGCCCTCACATGAAAAGATTCCTGCTGGGAATTTTAGCTCCTTTGGTACAAGGGATGATGAGCCAGCTGCTGAAGCCGTAACTATGTATGTGCAACATAATGCAAAAACACAGGTTGCATTTGTATTCTAGTCTTCTCAAGTACCACTGGGTAGCCTTGGGCACGTTACTTAACCCTTTTAAACGTCAGCTTTTTAATCTACAGCAGGGTTTCTCAACAGTGGCACTATTGAGATTTTGATTCTTTGTGGTAGGAGGTTTTTCTGTGCATTATAGGATGTTTAGTGCATCCCTGGCTTCTATCCAGAGGTGACAACCAAAGGTATCTCCAGACATTGCCAAATGTCCCCTGGGGGACAAAACTATCCCTGATTGAGAACCATTGATCTACTGAAAGAGAACATGAATAGTGCTGATCTCATAAGACTGAGAATTGAATGAAATAATGCATAAAAAGACTCAGCATGGTGAATGATATATGCACTCAATAAAATTAGCTCTTACTGTTATTATCCTAACTTCCAGGACAAAGTTGGAATTCTTGAAAGCCTTACAGCTCAGGATAGGGGAAAGAGAAAAGGAATGGAATGAAGCGCACTTGCACAGGCAAGACAATAAGCTTATTTTATTATCAGCTAGTGCTAACCATGGATTCTCATTTCATTTAACCCCTCCTCCACTCTGATGAGGACAAATCAAGATCCATTTAGGGAAAGCAGAGATAAAACGTGAAGGTGTAAAAATGTATTTTGTTATAGTTCAGTGTATAATGGGAGGGGTAGAGAAGGAGGAATTTTGCTAATCTTAATTTCTTCTACAATGTCAGATGGAGGAATTATATGAAGAGTCTTTTGCAATTCTACAGCCTCCCTTTCCTATTCCCTCTACTCTCTTCCCTCCTTCATTCCTTCTGCATTTATTGAGAGCCAACTATATTGCAGTCACTACGTTACTTGATTCTTTATATGTCTAGTCTATCCAATTCACATTCTTTAAGTAATGAATAATTTCCAATGAGGCATAATTGGAAAAACAGCTGGAAGGATAAGGATAGCAGTGAGAGAAGCCAATGGAGAGAGACAGAAAATGAAGAAAGAAAAAGAATGGGAATGACTGAAACATATTTTCTCACTTTGAGCAGATGAAAAGAAAATAATCAAGCAATATTAAGCTGTCTAAATATAAATTTAAAGGTGACTGAAGATATAGGCTCCATATAGATCATACTGTCTGTCTAACACAAATGGAACGTTATGAAAGTGCTCGGCCACAGCTTGGTGAGAAGTTCATAATGATGATGAATATCCGTAGCAGGTGACTCCTAGATCATTTTCAGCTGTCCATAATTAAACTGGTATCCATCTCTCGACAATGTCAGGGCTGTAAAATAATTCCAGTCATTGGACCCCTTACATCTGTGCTGAAATGAAATAATATTTGGCAGTAACAAGGAGTCACTGAAACTAAATAAACAACCCCTTTCAAGACTACATAAAAGTCAGTAACATAATAACATTTGACAGGGATTAAGACCTCTTTGGGGCTGTAAGGAAGTTTCAGAAGCAGCAATAACAAATATATGGAAGGTAGAACAGATCTATGCTTTAATAGACATGTATAATTTGAAATGTGATGAATTTCCCAAAGGAGATGTATATTTTGAATATCCATTGTGCACATATCAAAAAGGCACGGGATTCTGTTTTTGTTGGGATTATTCTCCCAAAGAAGGAAAAAGCAAAGCTTTCCTTTTTCATTAAGCTGTGCTTTGGTTTTCGTATACCTGTAAAATATATAAAGGCACTTGAAGCTGAATGCGATACTGTATGGAAGCACAATATAGAAAGTTCAGATGTGCATTAGTTTCAGCTGCATATTAGGAACACATCATTCTATTCTCACGGCAATCTTTTTTTGTAGATCAAGATCTTTTCCTTAGTCCCAAGATGCTCCCACCCCTCTGAAGTCATTCTTGGTTCTTTCAGCTTGTAGTGAAAGCTACAACAGAATAACCCTACAACTTTTTTGAATCTTTACTTAGCTCTCTTGTATTGGAATTATTTGTGTATGGGGTTTGTCTTCTCTAGGAACTCCGAAGGTCAGACCCTTATCTGATTCATCTTTCTAGATTCCCCTCACAGAATCTGCTGCATATATAGACATGCAGTATATTCACTCATTCAGTAAATATAAGAATGGTGTTTTTAGAGTTATTTCTCATTTGACTTGAAGGTAAGTGTTCTTAAATATTTACAGCTACAGTTACAAAGTTCTACGAGCAGACTGCAAGGAGAGGTAGGTTCTCAGACTAAGGACACAAAATGGGTTGCACAGCTCACACTAAGCACTAGACAAGGATTATTCCAATAGCTGCTCTAAAATAATCTAAGGATAGCACTTTAGATATTTTAACTCATTTAACTCCCACCCGCCCTTCAAGGTGGGTACTCTTATCATCTCATTTTATAGATAAAGAAACTGAGGCCTGGCAATCACACAGCAAGGAAGTAGTAGTCATGGGATTTGAACCCAGGCTATCTGGTTCCAGAGACCTGCTCCTCATCACCATCTTCTGTGGCCTCACAGTCAGCCTTTTCACCCCTTGGCTGGAGCTACTGGACTCCCATCTAGTGCCCCAGCCCCCCCGCAGTCTCCATGCCCAATCCCCATCTGGGCTGGAGGGATGTAGAGCTTTGTTGCTCAAGAGTTTATGTGTAAATACTCTTGATAGTTAAATACTCTTACTAGTTTTGTCCTTACCCGGTGCTTCCACTCTAAATAGCTGAGCTTTTTCTTCCCCGAGAGCGAGTGGGAGCTGAGACTCAAAACTCTCAGTCCTAATAGCTCCGAAGGGTGGCAGAATATGCCATCCCAAGATATGCCACTTTGGCATAAGGATTATTTTGAGCCAAAGGGACTTAAAAAACAGCGGATGCAAGAAGGACATTCTAATCTCCCCTTTTTTTCATGAAAACTGGAGTAAAAACTTCCATGTGAAAGATTCCCTCCCTTACCAGAAGGAAATTAACATTATCATCCTCAAGGAGGAGAAGTTGAGACAGAGAGAAATCTATACAAACAGACCTTATCTTCCTGTAGCCTCCCCACAGAGTTTAGCCACTTTTTCACATGGCCTTTCTGTGCTCAACCTAATGTAAAGGCCTGTAGGTTTCCCCATTTATTTGGGAGTCTACATTTCCTTACGAGGGCTCCCATGGTGCATAGAACTTATGTAAATGTGTATGCTTTTCTTCTGTTAATCTGTCCAATGACAATTTAATTCTCAGGCTCAGCCCAAAAGAACCCTAAAAGGGTAAAGGTAAAAATTTACCTCCCCTAGAGCTCCATCTGTCTCTTGTCCCCTGGGCTGAACACATATCTTAGAAATTCAGAAACTCAGGTGAGCAGCCACCTCCATTTCCTAGCCTCCTTCTCCTTAAATCCTAAATCATTCTCCTAAAATCTTGCCTCAGTCTGAGTCCAGTGAGTGAGATCTTGCTAGCCACTGACTGACCTAGATATCTGAATATGGCTGGTCCTCGAACTTTCTGTACTGCAACACTGAAGCACCAGATGTGTCATTCACCATTTGGTTTGGATACCATGTTCAACCTCCCAGACTGGAGGTTGCTGGGTGCCGCCCATCATCCTCCCTTCCCTTCTAGGAGAATCTCACTTTTTTTCAGTTATTCACTTCTCTCTCATTCAGCTCATGTGCCTCAAGGGAATCACAGCTCCATGGGTGGACCCCTTTGCTATAAATAATCCTAAGCCCCCTTTGTCCAGGATTAGTTCAGGATGAGCATGTGATCTAGTTCAGGCAGTGGGAAGTGAGGAGTGGTTTTCTGGGCCTGCTGGGTCCAGTTTCCACAGTCATGACAGAGCTTTGGGAAGAGGTGTGAAGGATGGCTGTAGCCGTCTCACTTCCATGGGGGAGCTGAAGCCACCACACACATGAAGGAGGGGTCAAGAGCCTGCAGGAAGTGGGGCTGGAGCCTGTGGACTAAGCTGCCCCTGAGGCCTGCCTGGACTTCTAGTTATACAAGCCAGCACATTACCTCTTGTTTAAGCCAGTTTTAATTTTTTTCTTGTGAAGTTAGAAGGTGACCAAGCTGATATCGACATGATGAGATTCATGCCTTCAAATTAATAGAGACTAATTTTTTTTAAACTAGTGATTATCAAGGTGTGTTTCCCAGACCAGCAGCATCGATGTCACCTAGGAGCTTGTTAGACATGCACATTCTTGGGATCTAGCTCAGACCTGCTGAATCTGACACTTTGGGGGTGGGCCCAGCAGTCTGGTGACTCTGGTGTCCTCTAGGTTTGAGAGCCACTGCTTTATACCTGGTTTCTTTTGTGGCCTTTTATACTAACATATTTAACCCACATATTGTCAGTTTCACCCGAGTCCCTTGTTCTCAGTTATGTGCATCTATGTTGCCTCAATCTTTTTTTTATCATTATTTTTTAATATGGAGTCACCAAGCCGCTCATTTCAGAGTATGCCTGCAGTGGGATTTCTGCTAATGTACTGCTGGGTAAAGAATGTATTCAGTATATCAGCCCCTTCCTCTTTTTCCCTCACTACTCTGTTCCCCCATAATTATCAAAAAGTTGTAGTGTTTCTGTAGCTTGATTGTGGACAGTGTTCTTCAAGGCTGTTGTTGCCTCCTAACTTTCAATCTATTCCAAACCTGCCCCACAAAGAGGGCTTGTTTTCTGAGTTTCCCTATCCTCTCCTAGTCTCTTAGACTCAATAGTCATAGAGAAGGCATACAGGATGCTGGAGTCTCCTGGCTGCCTACTGGGACAGCCCTTTATGAGCAGATGGATGCTGTGCAGTTTCCCTTAAGTGTTTCTCTGGTGTGCCCTGTGGACCACCTGCCCCAGAATCCCTGGGACCCTTGTTAAAGACACAGATTACCTGGGATCTACCCCCAGAAATACCAAAGGAATCTCTGGAGGTGACGGCCTAGGAGTATAAAATTTTAACAAGCATTCTAGGGATTCTTAAATACCCTTGAGTTTAAGAACTATAGCAAAGGTCATTTACATATTGACACTAGGGCGACCAACTGAGGGATTTCCCAGGGCTTGGTATTTTCAGTGCTAAAACTGAAAGTTCCTGGCACCCAGGACAGTTGGTCACTCTAAGATACCAAGTTAAAGGTGAGCCATCTCAAGTCTATCAGAGCTATGGTGGTAGAGTGTCATTAGTCTGACTTTATCCCTTGACCTGCTTTCCCCAGTCCTTCTAGCTCATCCACTGATGGCCTTCCCAGAGCCTCATGCCCACCCCAGTTTCTGGGCGAGTCCTATCAGAGGCAACAAGGGTATTAATCCCCCTTCTAGCAAGTAGCATTTGACATAGTTGTTCATTTCACATTCAGGATCTAGTAACCTAATAATAAATATTCATGGGGCTCAGAGATGAATTAACTTGCCCAAGGTCATTGGTGTTCAATTATGGTAACAATCTGTAAATATAGCACTGTGACACTAGAGTCTGCCCTCCTAACCAGTACAATATCTGCTTCTCTTTTCTAACTTCTAGAGTTGTCTAATATTTTCTCCAGGGAACTCCAGTGAAGTCCTGGACTGCAACCCCAGTGAGTAATGAGCCAGACCACCAGTTCAGACACTTCCTTCGGGTCTCCATTCCTTAGGATCAGACTCTGAACCCCAGACATCTACTGCCTGGTGGAGGTTTTGCTCCAAATCCTTTCAGTGGCTCCAGATCACTTCCTACACAATCTGAACCTATCTCTTGTTGCTTTCTATCACTTGTTTCCAGCATACTGCCTTCGTGGTATCTACCAAATATGCCTCAGAGCCGTTGCACATGCTATTTCCCCTGCATGGGAGGCTCTTCCCCAGATATCCACATAGCTCCATCACCTCTTTTAGGTTTTTGTTCAAATATTACCTTCTCAGTTTTGCCTTCTCTGAAATTAGTAACTCTCCCTCTACTTTCCATACTCCCAACACTCTATGCCTCCTTTTCTCCATAGCACTTATTACTATCCAATAGAATTAGTATTTTACTTATTTTTTCTATTCTTTCCCCTTCCCAGTTGAAAAGTAGGCCCCATAAAGGCATAAGTTGTTACCTATTTTTTTCCCATTGATCTAAATTCAAAGCCTAGAACATAGTAAATGATTGGTAAATAACTACTAAATGAATTAAATCAGATGGCCATTGTGAGCCATGTTTTACACTGCTTGCTTGCAAATTTTACCACTACCCGGAGCCTCTACTACTGTGACTCACGCATGCCTGGATTTTCCTGTGGGCCTGGATCAAATCTGAGTTAAGTGGAGCCCCTGGAGAGTGCACTGTCAATGTTGTTCACCCTTCCTCAGAAATCTGCTCTGTAGATTGATTGCTCTTGTAGCATAATCCTGGTGATGTCCCCTTTTCATCTTCCAACTATTGAGATGGGGAGGCTGACTACAATGTGCACAGTGTGCGCCCTACAGTATTCTGTGCCCTGCCCAGTGATGGAGATGAGCAAGGGTGCTGCTGCCCACAGGAGGACCCTTCATCCAAACTGGGAGAGGCAGCAAAGGCTTCCTGCAGGTGTCATGCCTGAGTGAGTCTTGAAGGATCAGTGAGAGTGACCATGACTGAGACCAGACAGTGTGAAATGGGGGGAGGAGAGGAAAGACAGAGGAAGGGCAGTATTCCAGGCAGAAGGCCTGAGGCTGGAGAGAGTGGCACACTCAAGAAACTAGAAAGTGGTCAGGAACATGTGGTGGGAGGTTGGGGGACAGGAATGGTGGGGGAGGGTTGGGGGAGGGGGAGGATTGGGGAGAAGTTGGCACTGGAAAGGTAACCAGGGCTGAGGCCATCAGGGGCTTGAATGACATATTAAAGGAATTTGGATTTTATCTTGAAAGTAATGAGGAGACGCAGAGTTTTAAGCAGGTGAGAGACATGGTCAGATGTACAGAGGACTCCTTGTGACTCTTGGCATTTTATTTATCTTCAATGACTACTTGTATGCAGCAAAAAACCCAGGCTTTATGAGATGTCTTGGTGACCCATGGCAAACCTCAGAACCCTCAAAGGTGTACTTCAGAGCTTACACTCTCTACCTCCCCCTCCAGCTTTGTTTGACTGTCCTTTTCTCCTAGCGCTAGAGGCATGTGTGTTTCCTCGAGGTGTAGACAAGGAGGCTATCGACATAGACCTGGGCAGGCAGGCCATACCATCTGCCTTGAAGAGCTGGGGAATGAGCCAAGCATGAACATTGTCTGACCCTTCCCAGATTACTGTTACTTTGGCAGAACTCTGAACAGGTTGGAGAATGTAAATATCCTGAAGGCAGGGGCCTTTGATGGCACGTTTACCTCTGGCCTTCCAGCTCCTAGAACAGTGCCTGGCACAAGTGCTCAAAAATGAAAGAAAGAAAGAATGGATGGATAAACTAGGCCATGAGGAATGTGAGGAGGAGCGAGAAGAAGTGGAGTCACAGTCCAGTTTTGGGCGGGCAGTGAGGGGATCCAGCGTACAGATGGAGAGTTCATGGTTGGGGAGGACGGCCCCTTCCTGGCTCTGAGCAGCACGTGGATTAGGTGTGGCTGCGTTTCCCCAAGTGCAGGCTCAGTAGTACCTGGGTACTTGTTCAGAAGGCGTGTTCTGGACTTTCCTGAAGACACGCCTGATCCCCATCACTGTGGCTGGGATCTGGAATCGGCATTTTTAATGAGCTCTCCAGGTGATTTTGAGGCATGTCCCTTTGAGGACCACTGACATAAGGAAGCAAGAAGAGGTTAGAAATTGGAAGAGCTCACAGCAAAGAGCCTCCTGCATCAACCCTTTGCAGACTTCCTTATCTGAGATCTTTTCTCCTGGGTCCCACTGGGACCATCATTCCTATGTCTGCCGAGGCCCCCCGTGTAGGCACGCCTTTGTTAGCA